CAAAAAACTAAAGAAAACAGTGTGTCCACACTCAATGAGCGGCGGAAAGCTACTAACTGAAACGATCCTTAATAAAAAAAGTCATAAGTATTTAAAAAATAAGAATTGTAAGAAAGTCAAGAAATACTATCTGTTTAAGAATAATCAAAAGGTAATGTCGTGTTTGGAAGGCTGCATTTTAGTGTGGGAAAATGGTCAGTCTTAAACAAAATCTATAAACTTTTTTTGAAGAATATCCTTACGCTAAATAAGCAGCTTATGAAACACAGCATCGTCATGATTATTTTTGTATTTACATTCTGTCAACAAAGACCATGATAATAAGTGTCAGCTGGCTTTAAAGAGTATCATCATATCATCTTAATTTTTTAAAAATAGCTAATGATAAGATTAAAATCTGGAGAATTCTAAAAAGAATTTTTCTAAAGAGGTACAAATTTCAATTATATAAGTTAAGATTAATTAAATTATATGTTTTGTAAAAGTCCACTCCCAATTTTTTTTCTTAAATGACAAAGAGAAGGGTTAAGTCTTGAAAGTTATAATTTATGGTTAAACTCTGAATTTTTTTAGGAAAATCTCAAAATTTTAAAAGCAGTTTAAAACCAAGAAGCTTAGATAAAGATAAGGAACTAGCAGTCTGCTTGAATCTTAGTAAAAGTTAAACGTGCTTCATTCAAAATGTAGTTAAATTGCAGTACTGGGCCAGTGTTCTAGTAACCCTACATTGGTACGTAGTTAAAAAAAAAAAAATTTGTAAAACCTTAAAAAATTTTATTTTGGTTTCGGAGAACCTTTAATATTATACTTATTAAGTATGTTTATTAATTTCCAAGACAATCATTGACTTAAAGAAATACATTGGTTCAAATAACATTTAACAGATTATCTTTTTAGACAAAGTGCAGTATCAGTACAGAAATTAGTTTTTTTGAATAATTTGTTAGAGTATTTATTTTGGCAACTACTGTTGCCTTTCTAGTTGTATTAATTCTGATTATTAATATGTTACATTTGTTAAAGTTATCTTACAAGCAAACCTACCCAAGTGCCACTCACCGATTTTGATAGATTTTTGCATTGTGGTAGGGAGTCAAAAAATAAATGACACGTGTTTTTTTTATCGGCGGAAGATGGTTCTTATGGGGTAAAATCTAGCTTTAAGTTTTCACCCTTAAAACAAGATTTCTGTAATATTTCCTTTGGAACTCAATACCTTAAAAAAAGTTATATGATGATTGTTTCCCTTAAAAAGTACTGATACTCAAAAAAAATTTTACAATAAGGGTTGCATCCCCAATGTTTTAGGAATTAAAGCTATGCCTTTAACAGTAAGTTTTTTTTCTGAAAATTCTAAAATTCATTGAAAATTAACCAAAAACTTGTTTTTGCATGTCACATAACGTGCGCAGTAACCAAATATTTTTATTTTTTTTTAAACAACCACTNATAAATTTCTTGAGCCGTTTAAGACAACAAGTTAAGCATAAAAATTAATATACGGGAGTTTCTCAGGTCGTTGATTTCATATTCATTGTCAGACTTTTAAAATTAAAAATTATAAATCTAATATGGCAGAACAAAAATAAGAATTTTACACATCAAGGACAGCAAGGGATTGGAAATTAAAATTTTTAACTGATAATTTGTACTTTAACGAACAATAAGTGAGGGATTAGCAAAAATAAGTATACGTATTGTATAACAATAGAAATATATGATTTCTTTAGTTACCAATGATGATTTCTTATCATTCCTTTTACTGATTACAACAATGAGGTAGATATTTATTTACTTCTACTGCAAAGAAGTGCTGTATGCACAATGATACAGTACACCACAAGCATGTCATGATTGCGATTTCATCATACCACACATAGTTTGTACCAGTGTTTAAAAAAAAAAAAAAACGAAGTAGGTGTTTCAAAAGGACCAGGCTTATCTGAAATGTCACTGCTTTTTCACCATGCATATTTAAAGATGTTTATGAATCGAGGAGAAAAGAACTGATTGTGGATAAGCGACTGAATTTTCAAAATATTGTTCTTCAAGTGCAAGTTAATATTGTACTCATACAAAAGGATGAGATCTGCAAAAAACTTTATAAAGTTTTTCCAGGATTCGAAAGTTTACACATCAAGTGGTTATATAAAACCAGTAGTTCCAGCCAGTATAAAAGAACTTTTATTTTTTTATCGTTTTTTTCAATGTTCATAAATATCTTCTCTTTTTGACCCCTCCAAGAGTTTAAACACAAAACCGATCTCTTACTGGCTGTCACTATAAATATCTTTCTGAACCACTCCATCACTAGATCAGAGGTTCATTTTCCTGATTTAGAGGGGTTAATGACTATATTTTCGGATACATACATGTTTTTCTCGACCATTGGTCTGAACTTACCATTTGTCTCTTGCAGAACAATGAGTAAAGGTGATTTCAACTTACCATCTGCATTTATTAAAGGTTGGATTGTTTAACTGTGTGTTAAAAACGTTAAAGATTACGCGACACATTTAATCTTTAAAGATCCTTTTACTAAAAAAAGTACCACCTGCATGGATTTCTAAATTAAAACCTGATTGATCAGTGTTGTACATATTTGCTGCTCCAACTCACGATATATCTAATTTCACATGTCCTACAAATTCATTAGCACTTTCTCGAAGTTTGGCCTTATTTGATAGTTGTTTTTGTGTCATAAATTAATTAATTTTTCTTGATACGATTTCATGGTACATTTTAAATTCATGTAACCATTTACATAATGCTTTAAATAAATCAGCAGATATCTAAACATCTTCTCTGGCTATCAAAGCCCATCGTCTTAAATCGATATCACGTTTAGTGACAGATTTATCAGATATTGAACTTTTTTAAAACATACTCTGATACATGATATAATTTATCGATTCTTTCACCACCCTCGTTAAATTCTTTTTCTGATCCATAGTGTTCTCTGATTCAAAACTTTCTTAAATTTTTATTGTACTAACTTAAAACTTCTCCTCTTTCTTTTTCCTGAATGCCAAAATTTTATTGCTTTTTTTATACTTGAGATTAATCTGTTCATCAGGTTTTCCGTTGTAGGTCATGTAATCATTAACAGACTACTTGTCTTCATCATCTTTAACTTCAATAGTTTCAGGTACTGCACTAAAATCGTTGAAGCATAAACCAGAGTAAGTATTAACAAATACTTGTCAATTGACCGCATCTTTTATCAAATTTTCTAGGTGAAGAGCAAATGATATTTCTTATTTTTTTGTAACGGATTTTACATCAAAAGTTGGGTCCTTAAGGTTTTGATTTAGTACTTACAAAAGATTTCTCGGATTTATGAACATAATGTAAGTAGCTGTGAATTAAAAATTTGCAACTTAATTTAAAATTGTTTAATTAATGGAACCATAATAAGGTAAATGTATACCAATATTTTTCTTGATTTTTTCAAACACATATAATTGTATGACAGGTTAGTTTAATCAAAACAAAAAAAAAACACTTAACATGAAATATGAGACAGAGGCTCTAAAGAACTCGTATTTATTCACAATTACTTAAGTGTATATAGAGGTACGTCTTCATAAATTAAAAATAAATAAGTACAGAATGGTAATATAATAATTTATTAACGAAACTATTTAATAGATAGCTACTAAAACCTTGGAATATGAATACATATGCATGCTATTATCGTGGTGTCAGTTTAGGTACATGGTTGTAGGAAAAGTAGTTTTTTTCAACACTAAAAATTTTTCTCATCTAGTAAGTTTTGACAGTGCTGAATTTAATGTTATTATTTAATCTGTTAACGGCATCAAATAAAAGTATAAAAGTGATTATGAAAAAACGAAATTGATTTTTGTACGAACCATGTACCAAAACTAACGCCACGTTAATAGAATAAATTTTAATCTATGAGCCAAGGTCGATTTGGTGGACAAAAGATCTTCCCAAAACTTTAAGTGTTACTATGTATATAGACAAATAATTTTTTGTATTCACCAACAGAATTTATACATAAATTATTGAAATGTATGAATATCAGATTAAAACTATAATTTATAATTCCTCACTGTCATTCATGAGTTAAATTTTTATCTTCGTGCCACCCTATTGGGCTTATAATTTTTAGTTTCCAAAATCTAACAACGAAAACACAATAAGTGACCCAGAGAACCGCTGTATATTATATTTTACGCTTAACTTGTTGTCTTTAGCTGCTCAAATAATTTAGTTTTAATAGGGATATTTTAGTACGGGTTGTTTTAAGAGGAATATAAATATTGGCTTATTACTCATATTATGTAACATGCAAAAACATTTTTTTTGTTAATTTTCGATAAATTTCAGAATTTTCAGGAAAAAAACTTACTATGAAAACAAAGTTTAAACCTTTCAAACATAGGGGATGCAACCCTGACTATAAAATTTTTCTTTGATTATAAGTACTTTTTAATGGGAACAATCTTCATATAACTTTTTTGTAAAGTATTGAGTTTAAAAAAAAATGTTACAGAAATTGTGTTTCAAGGGTGAAAACTTAAGGCTAGATTTCACCCCGTAAGAACCATCTTCTGGTGATAAAAAAAACACGTGTCATTTATTTTTTGATTCCCTACCACTATGCAAAGTTTTATCAAAATTGGTGCGTGATACTTAGGTAAGTTTACTTTTAGTCCTTTATATCTTAATTTTATTTTAATTTTATATCTTAGTTTTAAATTATTTAGTTATGAAGTAAAGTCTATTACCTGTACATTCTGAAGTAAGACCGTCAAGCTTGAGATGCACGTGAACAAACATTTGAACAAAGTAACATTAATCATAATTTGTTATCTTACATGTATATTTATATGACTTTTAGCTGTTTAAATATCATTCCAGAAGCCAAATTATAAAACATGTATTATGTACGGTTATTCATTGAAATTTACAAAAAAAAATTCTCATCAGTTAAAAACTTTGGTAAGACAGATGTGTAATAACTTTTAAAGGGATAAACCATCATCGTGGCAGCATGGAGTTGACACATATGCTCACCATGCTTTAGCTGGACACACGGGTAGCTCACCAAGTGGTATGGGTCCACATGGAAGCCATGTATATCCACATTCTAGTAATTCTCACATAACTCATTCTCATACTAACTTTGCTGGTGCAGCCTCTCCATTCTATGCTCAAAACGTTGCAATGATGTCTTCTTGGCGAACCTACGATAGCACTGGATTTCAGCGTGCTCCTCCATACGGTGAGTCAATGTATTATACGGTTTTTCATTTGGTATTAATATTCAACAAATCATCACATCACACTTAAATAACTGTTGGACCAATATTAGTATCAAGTTTTTTTTTCATTAAAGAAATGAGGAGTATAATTATGAGAAAATCAAGTAACAAAAAGTATGTATGATTACAAAAGTGCAGACTAATCATGTATAAGTAACCATTTTAGAAATTTGGATGTAGAGCTTGTTGCATAAGTAAAAAAGTTATTTTCTTAAATTTTAATCAAAATGGCACTTTTCTGCAAGAATTCAAAGAATACGAAAACATTTTCTAAAGACCTACTTTTACATGGCTTCAATAAAAAGGTTTAACATCCTTCTTATTCATATATATCGTTACGGTGGCACACACCAATCTCACACTCTTCAGGCCATAGCTTGCTCTTTATAGCCAGAATTCTAAATAGGCAAAGATGCTTAAATATACAATCATGTTTGCTACACTGATTAGAAAGATAGGTATTAACGTGAGTTTTTCCAAAGCACAACTAGTCTTATTATTATATATAAATATATCATTATTATCATTCTTGTACTTTATGTGTTGTTTTGTAAGAAAACTTATTAATTATTTTGAATTCTCACTAGGGTATTTTTTTTTAGTGCGATGACTTTAACTACCTCATTGTTACGTAATTGTCTTACATCTCATTAAAAATACTTATTTACCAAAGTCTTAGAAGCAATATTTTTTTCTTCAATATTCAAGGTCTGGTAGGCCATCACTTATAAATTTTAAATATTAAGATGTGTTCCTCAAAAGTGATTTTTACTATTTATTGACTAAGAGTACATCTCAGGTGGTGCTACCACTGCCAGAGCTAAGTACTAAACTCTCCAGTTTGAAAGTATTGGATTTTATCGGGACGTTTAAATTTTATTTTGAATGTGATTCTATTTTGATGTAGTAATTCATGAAATTCGTGCTTCCTACACGATATTGGTATACAGTATCGAATTCAAATTATTTTGAAGTGATTACTACACTCTCTTTGTTTTATAGTCAAGATCAACTCCATGCTAGCAAGGCAAAGCTAGTTAGCTCACGAGATGTGTTATATAAATAGGTATAGATGATACGTGGTTCACGTCTCCACCTTATTTCGGCAACCTGGAGAGCCTCGAAAATTTCACGGCCTGTGGTATGAAATCAGGTGGCATTATCACTTTAGATCTCTGAGGGCCGATCACGCCTAACGCAGAATCTGATAAAAGCCCCGACAAAAGACTCGGTAGAGAGATTGCCAACAAGCTCGAGAGGCGCTACCTTGGTGGTCGTACAGACGAAGATCGTAACATAGCCCTTGCTTCTGTACATGCCTTAACCCTTAGCAGACAAAATGTTGAACAGGCTGGCGTAGTCAACTTCAGTGCAAGAGAAAGTACAAGCAAAAATGACCCGAGCATCCAGTAAAAATGCCATGTGTTGAGTGGCAGAACACGCCTGCAGTCGTGCACAAACAACGCATCCCTGATGAACGCTTTTAATTTGTCACCACTCACTAATAAACCAGGCCTTGCGATCTATATAGGCACTGGTGAGTTCGACTTCTCCGTGGAGAGTACGATCATGAGCCTATTGGATGATGAGCCAAGCAAGGCTGCATCGACTATCAAGGATCGATGAATGCTTCTCATCAAAGGCAAGGGCAGAATGTTGGAGACGACTGCTAACTCGAAGGATATCATCGGAGAAAATCGCGTCTGAAGGCAGCAGTGGACTATTTGCAGGAACACGGCCGTTCTTTCGCAAACTCGTAAGCTCTAGCTCCAAGAATTGTTGCTGGCTAAGGTGGACACAGGCAAGGTTGGCATTACGCAGCTCGATCGTCGTAAGAGGGGTGAAAGGTGGGGGGGGGGATCTTGACACAGCCGAGACAACCAACAATGGATCCAGAGACGCAATCGAGCAAGGAAGCAAAGGAGAAGTCCGAGGTCTGAGAACTTCTCAGGCATATTTGGCGCAGTGCATTAAACAGCGTCGCAAAATTGTAGGGCGCCGTCAGTGACCAGGTTACCGAAGCTTCGCAACTTTTCGTTTTTGGATAACCATAAATCAAGAGGGCCTGCGAGCCAGGAGAGGACTTTTTACCAAACGTGCATTTGTCAAAACATGGACAGATTCGGGCCCTGAAAAGCCAAATCCACTGGATAAGAGGCCGTCGGAACATATCTCCGAACATGGAATGGCAGAAGCTCCCGAATGTGAGCCACGTAATTATATATCAACGAGTTGTTTGTCGGTTCTGACGATCGGAGCCAGTGAAAAACGATCTGAGAGTCGCTTCAGGTGTGATAGTGCTCAATGCTTGCAACTTATTCCTTAGTGACCGTGCGTAGCAGCTTTGCCACGAGCAGTACCGCTCGTAGATTCAATCTAGAGATCGACATGCGTGTGGGACTAGTGGCATCTGGTTGCAAGCTTTTGACAAGGCTTAACTTGGTCCTGGACTTCAAGATACGCACGCAGATACCGTTGGCTGATCTCTCAGTGAGCGAATACACTATAGCAGCCATCGCGTGTTGGCTCGCGTCTGCGAATGCGTGGAGTTGCAGACCAGTAAAGAGACTGCAGCCAATCCAGCAAAGAATGGCAATGTCGGAGAAATTCTGCAGTTATGCCAGGAATCTGTTGCAGCGTTGGGCCATGGCTGCAGGCATGGGCTCATTTCATTTGAGTCATGCTCGCCATAGATCCTGAATTATCAATTTTACAGTTAAGATGACGGGTGCAATTTATCCACAAGGATCGAATAGTTGTGCTAGAGTGGCAAGCATTGTACGCTTATCGACTGTTACTGTAAGGGAGGTGGCGTAAGGTGTGAGTGATCATCAATTGGGTCTTAGCTTACACCAAGTTCGCTGACTAGACCGTCTACGCTGAGCTGCCGCCAGGTCGGCCTTAATCAGGCATCTGAAGAGAGGTCACTCAACAGCTCCAGATCATTAGATACCTTTTTCCTTTGAGGGAAGCCTCCAGCTTGCAACAAGCTGATCAGCTAGTCACAGTGAATTCAAGCCATCTCAACGTTGTCAGCACCAGAGAGAATGTCATCAACGTACCGATCTTGTTTGACAATAGGCACGGCCTCAGGCTGGGCATGGCCTTCATTCTCGCCAAACTGTGAAATCGTTCGTAGATTAGATTTGATTAGATTAGATTTATTTATTTAACAGGCTAAGGACTCCGAGACGTGCTGAGTGGTCCTGTATAGTCTAAGCCGTATATACATTAAAACATTAGAAAGAGGCTTCTGAATATCAGCGCCCAAGAATACTATCGCAGTTTATACATTATTGAAATAAAATAATAAAGAGAACAAAAAGGAAAAAAACGAATAAAACAACAAAATTAATAAAAATGTAGCTAACAAGAAATAAAATCAGTAACAGTAGTAATGGAAAGCGTAATTAAATAAATAGTACAACACAATAAAATTTTGTTACAATTAACAATTACTGCTTGTTCTTAAACACAAGTTGGTAGTATTTATAAAATTTACTCTTGAAACACGGGTTCTAGTATAATTCACGTATAGCAACTGGCAAACCATTCCACACACTAGTGCTACCAACGAAGAGAGAGATAGGGAGCACTAGCTTTGCTGTAAGTCACAGTGAGCAACTAATAGCGATTTGATAAGCTAGAGTCATCAGAGCTCTACAATATGTGCTTGAGTTCCATTTCTGCCAAAACATTATTTTGATATCCATATAGAAGGCGATCCGATGCCTTTTTCAGTGGAGCATGACAGTCGGCAACTGGGATTAAAGCTTCGGTTCAGTGTGCAGGACATTGTTGAGGCTATAGCCAGTTGATGTTAATCACGAATCGTTGAATACGAAACACAGTTTCTTCCAGTGGTCGCATGCTTGCCAGATCCCATGGTGCAGGGCCTAATGTACGGGGACTGACGACGTTAAGAGCTTCGCGTTGATCAGTAACTGCATGAGCCTATACTTCAGATACTTGTCCATGAATCATGCATATTCAATGTCCATCTCCAGGTACCCCGCAATTTACGCTGAAGCAAATGAAGGGGTGCTCTGGCACCAGGTAAGCTCTCTCTTAGTCACTGAATTCCGTTGTGGTTGAGCAATAGGTGGATGACACAGCACCCATCAGCCATCCGATAATGATTGGCAATGATGACCTAGCACTTAATGTCATCAGGGGATCAACAAATTCCCTGTGGCAAGTTCTCTGATTCCCAAAATCATTGCATTAGTGCGACTAGCTGCTCGTGCCAAAGTGGAGCTAAGATTTCTTGTGTTATCCTGCCAGTGGCCAGCAAGGACGATTTCGCTTAGCCCAATGTGTGACCGGCGGCAGCGAGCCTCCAGCAAGCAACAGTGAGCTGTCTGGCAAGATCTCCATCAAGTAACTGCCGTCGCAGTAGTAGATGGGGGTACACGTTGGCTTGAAGAAGGACGTCAACGTCACTCGTTATTCTAAAGAGGTTAGATCCAAGAGGTCTGAAAAACACTCCAGAGTTCGATGGCAGATGAGTGTAACGGTCCAGAGGGGGTGCGGAGTCTCAGTTGGCGCAAGCAGTGCACTTTTAGTTGTAACGTCTACCTTGAGTTTTGGGTTTGGAACTGCAAGCTTCAATCGTCGACGAGTGCACAAAGACATCGCCTTCGACACCAGAGGTGTTCGTAAAGGCTAGCTGGGATCTTTTGAGCCAGTGCAGTGAACATGATTTAAATCTCCAAGCAAGCGTTGATGAGTGCTCTTGCTGTGACCTTCCGCACCCAGGGGCCCTTAAACAGAACCTTGAGCGTGGACTGGACAGCTTGTCATGATAAAAGGCAGCCACTACGTAAATGCCTCCCTTGGCGTACGAGATAGAGAGGGACTGCTTCACCTCAGCTGGTGCTGGGTCACACTCCTCAAAGGCAGACATTCACCATATGGCCGGGCTTCAGGCAGAGAAGGCACAGCTTGTGCTGAGTGGTGA